CAATATTTTTATCTTGACTATTTAAGTATACTTATTATAATTTGTTGGAATATTAATTTAAGTGCCACTATGTAACAGATTTTTGGGCGATGCTAGGGTCTTTGCCTCTCATGGCCGTAGGAGTTCAATCGACATTATACTAGTGCTAGAATAACTTATATCATTATAAAACTAGCACTGGAATAATGAGACTATTTTATTATGTGATACTACTGCACAATGTTCTTTGAGCTCAACTAAAACTGCTGCACAGTGTTCTTTGAATTTTAGATGAATTGAACGATAGACTACTAAACTGTTATACAGCATTGCTGCATAATATTCCTCGTCTAACGGACGAAGCATTAAACATCATTAAATAATCATATAACACAATTTCCTTCATAAGTTCTTATCTAGCGAATGTTTTCAATATTTCGTATGTTGATTAATAAAGATTTTCATGTTGATATAGATATAAAATGTGAAATATGCAATGAGGAAAATGTTGATAAATTACTCTTAAAATTGCAGAAAGGCACTATGATAAAAAAAAATATGAGAAAGCTTGGAATATTTATTCATAAATTGTAACAGTAAACTTTACAATATTACAATTTAAGTTTAATAAAATTTAACTAAAGATACAAATTAATTTACAAATAACCAAGAATTTAGTTTTTAAGAGAACATTTGTAATAGCTATTTTAAAACTTTTATTTTACATATTGCCTCTAATGTTAACAATATATACCCAATCACATAAATTAAATAAATATATAAAACAGAATAAAAATATGAAAAAAGTTACGTTGAACAATAAATTTATAGCTGATATTATTAAAAAATAAATTAAAACCTGCCTCATTAATTAGATAATATATACAAAGCTGAATTAATGATCATCTTATCTAAATTAAATAGTAATTTTGGCAATAAATAATCAAGATAGAAGTGGCAATAAATCGTTTACCATACTTGACTACTTCTTTTTTAAAAAAATTTATTATTACTATTATTCTTTTCAAATTAATTCATTTTTGGTGTAGTTACTGTTTTCGGAGCATAATTATTCCAATATTGTAAAAAATCCTTTACAATTTTACTAGATTTTGAATCAAACAAGTGTTCGAGATTTTCATTAATTTCAATAACCAGTTTAATCATTTCTTGTAATGCATTTTACAAAGGTAATAAAATAATTAAATTTGAAATAAAAATATATAATTGTAGAATTCGAATGGCAAATCTTACTCTAAGACTTCAAAAATTTTCAATCATTAACTTCAAATGACCAGCTTCAGAAAACAAATTTGGAATAGTAATCGTAGATAATAGATAGCAAACATCTATTTCTTTTTTCATATCTAATGAATAAAATGATATTTGAAGTCCTGCAAAATAGATTATTTTAATTGATAAAGCTATAATAATTGCATAATATAGATAATTTTTAATTGCAAATCAATATTTTGACTTGATAAAAAATGTTGCTCCCAACTAGCTATAGACTTTTCAAGCTTTTCCCAAGAAGTAAATATAGCCTTTTTAACATCTTTAATTAGTATATC